GAAACTGAGCCCTTAACCCTTAAGCCTGCCGCGGGCCAGGTGTCATTGTCATCGGCGAGTTGATGTGATGTGCAATGGATTCGTGCGGCCAGACACACAGCCTTGGGATTCGGGATTCTCCTTTTGGCGATGATCATTGGTTTTAGGCTTAGAGCTTTGGTGCAATGTGGGTGGGTTTCGGTTTAGGTTTTCTAGATTGCCTAGCGTAATAGGCGGAGATCAATGGGAATTTTGTGGGCTGGGCCGGCCTAGGGCCTGGGCTAAGGATTTAGGGTAGGGTTTCAGGGTATCAAGGTTAGTTTGGGAATAAGGGATTTAGGATTTAAGTTTTGGGGCCCTGGCCCTGACCCCTTATTGCAGTTACGGGGAGGTTCGCATAATTAGGATTGTAGTGCTTGGGGGTATGTAGTGTTTGGGATTTAAGGGTATTGCTGGGAGCTGGTCAGCTGGTTGTCCAAACATTACATCGGTTTTTGCAGCCTGGCATTGATCCACCTGTTATGTTACCATCCATCCATCCATCCATCCATCCAACCATCCATCCATCCATCATCCATCCATTGTCCATCCATCCATCCATCCATCCATCCATCCATCCATCCATCCATCGAATGTACCATCTTGAGTGTATGTTGTTTCTGAGCCCCAACGCAGCCAATGCATCCCAACAACATCCCCCATGTCCACCACCCTTAAACCCTAATCACAACCATGAATCTTAACGCCAAGCCACTAAATCTATGGGTGGATGCGCAAGCGCCAAGGTCTTGACATCTTGCTTGGCTTTATCGATCCTGGTCCGCCAGGCCCTCTGCCTGTCGGGGTCCTTTGATTATGAAGGCGCAGAATAGACAAGACCACCAACCACGATCATCAATAAAGGGAGACTGAGTCAGCCTGAGTCGTGCCATGTAACCTCTTGTAGCCAATGCGTCCCAATATCCAATACGGTCACCTTGTATCCCGTATCCCCCAGGCCGGTTGCCCTTGCCTTCATGCAATCCCAGCCCAGGTCTGTTCTGTGCCGTCCATGGCATCCTTGCTACAGCACCTCCTCGATGTGCAGGATAAGATCTTCCGCTTGAGGCCACGGACCATGTTGTGTGCATGCAGTACACGCGGTAACACGCGCTAGCCCTCCTTCTGATTGAGCCCCTGAGCAGAGCCCCCGGGCCTCTAGCACGCAAACCTTTTTTTTGGAAGCCCGCTTGGCCGGAGGCAGTTGGTGATGCGGGCTGGCACGGATGGCGAGAAGATTCTCTTCGAAACTGTTATCGCCGACTTGGGCAACCTGCTGGACGGTGTACCTTGCATCATCTAGATCTGCGTGCTGACATGGTTCAGGTTTTGCGGCACATGAGGTTGTGGAGGTGTACAGACTCTTGTGCAAGGCTGTAGAGTTCACCTGAACCATAACAATGGTTTGATGTCATTTATTGTCAAAAGTCACGCTTGCTGCGCAGCGTTTGGCGTTCAAGGCCAGTCAAGCAGCTGTTTGGTTTTGTTGTGGTAGAGTGAAGGATGGCAGCTGCAACGGTCTTTTGGCCCCCTGTGACGGCCACGATGAGTGAACTGTATGCCTGGGCCAAGAGCCTGAAAGCAGGCAACGGGTTGAAGCACCTCGAGGCCCTCAACATGTTGATTTGGCGCTGGTCCAGCGCTTTCCAGTCAATCGGACATATGTCTAGACATATTCAGATTCATTTGCAAAACATGTTGGGCTGCAGAGTAGTGCCGTGGACGGCCAGTGGTTGTGCATGAAGCCAGCGGCAACTTGAAACACGCAACCTGATGTGAAATGTGAACCCGTAGTTGTCCCTGTCCCTAAAGCGCCTCGGTCTACATACTACTTTTGCAACCAAGGGCCCTACATCTTCGAGCCGATGGCCGAATGGCAGTGGTTTTGGCGTCTGCCTTCAAGCTGGTCCTCGGCCAGGACCCGGAACCCATGCAATTAATCCTTGTTCACGCCAAACAGGGCCCGAGGGCATGCCCCGCCGGAGTGTCTTTGTTTGCAAATTGTTCACATTGACAGTGGCAGACGGTGAGGGTGCGAGTGAAAGACGGATGAACGTGCGTTCACGTCAGGAGTTCCAGCTCCCCAGCGAAGCAAATATCCATGAGGCCGCTCGGGATTGGGGAAAACCACTGCTGATCGCTTGTTGCTAGTTGCTAGCAGACTTCTGATCCATGGGCTTGCTGCGTGTGGATTATGACTCTGGCTGACGCGCAGGCGACATTGTCGCGAGCAAAGGCCAAGCTGGGCATTGCTTTAATGCTTCTCCGGCGGCGCACCTGGAGCCATCAACTGACAAGCAAGCCGACTTTCATACAATTGTGCTATGATTCCTCCCCGGTGAAGAAAGACCTTTTCCTAATTCAGGAGATATCCATCGAGCAACTCGTTACAATATTTGGTTTCACAAACATTCACAAACTTAGAATTTAGAAGTTCGGCTCGGCGCCATAAGTCCGCTTGTCATGTGGGGGCATGTAGTTTCTGAGGTTGGACAAGGCCATGGTCCTTCACAGAATGAAGCTAGACGATGCCGATCCAATGGACCTCACCACAGATGATGCCAATGTGGATGATCTGGGCAATGAAGATCTCAAAGCTGAGTATGCAGCCCTGTTGCAGCCTCGCCTTCTTCCGATTGTCACCCTGGGCTCATCACACACATCCCTTCCGGATAAACTGTCTGCGCTGTTGCACGCGCTGAAACTGGAAACGGGTGATCAGTTGCAATTGTACTTGAATTCTGTTGCAGCCTGCGCGAGCGACCAAGGATCCTTTGCGTTTGCTCTTGAAAGCCCTGCCGCTTCTGTTGTTGCTGCTACTACTTTGTGTCAGCTGAGCCAAAGCCAAGACACGAGTCGTCATGCTTCATGTGATCGTTTTTCAGGAGTTGAGTTTGGGCTGGCAGATGCGCCGGATATCAACATGGATCAGTGGATGGAAGATGAAGCAGCTGCGTGCAACACCTTGCCGGCGCCACCTGGACCCTTGCAGAACAGCCCGCGCAGGAAACTCTTGCAGCTTGGTCAAGCAAGCAGCTTGGTGTGATTGTGTGCCTATCAAAGGCACAAACACCCGTGGAGCCATTCTTTCATGTTTCTCTACTAGAATCACTGACACTGATGCCTGCTGTCCCCACTTGCCCCCAGTCACTGGCCCCACCCTGCCAAGGATGCCGAACGCGCTCAAAATCATTGGACTGAAACACGTCTGCGACAACTTGCTGAAGAGGGTCATGGGGGCCACGTCCTTCTATGACGACTGGTTGTCTTCTAGCCATGAACTGGAGCGGCTGTTGTCAAAGGTCATACCTCGAGAGGCCTTTCGCGCGCACTGCATTCCGCAGGAGGCCAAGGCCAGGAGTGTGAGGGTGGTTTAGAGTCTAGCCCAGTCCAGGACCAGGAGGGTTGTAGTAGCAGCAGTTTATCAGGTGGTCATTGCGTGACTCACGAATCATGACAGATGACATGACCTCCTGAATAATTCATGATGCATGAGTCAGAGTCAGAGTCATGAGTCATGAGTATTGAAAGAAGCTGAGGCAGTTTTAGAGCGTTCACTTCAGAACAAGTCTAACCAGCAGCGTCACATCCAGATTCAAGCATCCGCTGTGCTGTGCCTTTGTAAGTTGCGTCAGCTGCTGCTGACACAACTTATGTTCGTTTGTACTGTGCCTGTGTCACTGCGTCAGGATGACTCCACGGCTTTTGCTTCGTTCAGCATCACGCTCAAAGGCTTGAGATGGGAAAGCTTGGTACAGTTCAGCCACGCTGTGGCTTGTTATGCATTACCTCCTCCCACCCTGTAACAGTTTTTCGGGGAGCACAGATATTTTGTTCCCGCCAATTTCCGGGAGCGTGGTGCGACCCTTTGCCAGAGGGTGTGCAGTATGGGGCCGGGGGGTTGCAGAAATCGGTCACTAAATGTAAGCTTGAGGACTTAGGCTTAGGGGTAGTTTGCAAGGCAGCCATGATTTGAGCATATGCGTCTTGCAAGGTTCTTGAGTGCGAGGAGCTCCTGCGAAAGTATTGGGATAAGAGGAAGTACCTGGCTGGTATGGTGGCCGCAGCTCCTAATGCGGCTCCTGACAACCCATTTCCGCGCGCAGACCGCTTGGACAAAGTCCCTTGGCTCGGCTTGGAGTATGTTTTAGTTGCAGCCTGTCACGAGGCTTGGTGCATTCGCGCTAGCCTGTCCTTGCGAACAGCTGTTGTGCTATCAGTAGTATGTTATTCGTGTCCGTGATCCTGGGCCCTGGACCTGGATCCATCCATGGAATGTCTGTGACTGACGATTGATAGTGACAGGTGATCAAGTCGCCAGACTTTTGGGTTCAGACAAGATTTATTGCGGACATCGGCCTTCTGGCCGAGCATGCCTCTCGTTGGGCAGAAGGATGCAGATGTTGTGACACACACCGGACGATTTACTTGCGGGCATCACGGCAAGACAAGCGGATGCTCCCCCAACCTTCATGCCCTTACCAAGGGTGCAGAGCCCCTGAACTCGCAGCTGGCGAGTGCTTTGCCAATCTCAATCGAGCAGCGAAGGAGACGGAACCTGTGCTACAGCAATACGTGCACGAGGCGACTTCGCCAGAGATGGTTTCTGCTTTATGCACGGACTGGCAGCGCGCCATCGCCACCGTGATGAGCACAATGCTTCTTAAGTTGATCTTGTCAACTTCATTGTTTGATCTCCCCGAAGATGTTAAGCTGTGCTGTTCACTGTTAATTCATTACAAATCATAGAAATAGGGTTCCTGTAGCAACCAAGGTTCGTGAAACTCCAGCATTGGAGAGAGCTGCCATACCTGCTCTGCGGATTGGGTCATGCTGATCCATCGGTGGTGGCTCAACTTTAGCTGCGGGGTGGGTCATGTTACACAACCGTACTTCTGGCAACTTTGGGGCCTTTGGTTTTTGGATTGAGGGAATGAGGGGCTCGTCGAATGGAAAGATGGTGGTGGGGTGACCGGGGTGAGGTGATGTGACAATGATGGGCCCCATTTTTGATTTGCGAACCATTGTACCGCTGATCGGACTATGCTACAAGTACTGGTTGATGCTTGTAGGCGGTGGTCAGGTCGCCGACACTGCCGAGCGAGCCCTTCGTCTTTTCGATGAACAAGCTGGCCGCCCCGGCTGGAAACATACACAATCACAGCGTTTTCTGTCGCCGCGCTGGACTGGATTGGGCGCTGATGAAGAGGCTGAGGCGCCGCTGCGGCCGCTGGCTGCTTGGGACATCATTGAACAGGTTCATCAGGAAACATCATATGTAGCAGCAATGTAGCATGTAGTAGATCGAGACTTCGAGAATTGTGTGTTGTAATTGGACCATGCGGACGTCATCTGCGTTTGTGTGAGTGCATGTGGCTCAGTCCCGGGAGTCCTGTGGGCTGGAAGCAACACGGCCTAGGTGGAGCGCCTGGCGCGCCGCGAGATTACAGTCCATGACATAGATGATCCGAGCTTTTTCAAGTGGATTTCTGGATTCTCGCTCGTCAAAGTTGTGGAACGTCCCATTGAGGGCTGGCATTCCAGGGTGACAACTCTTTTGCGCAGTAGCCGCAACGCAGGGGTTCCGTATGTGTCTTTGACCCTCCGATTTCCACATTTGATTTCTGTGGTGGAGCGCAGCCCGGAGGCCAGCGTAATGCAAAAACATACTTGTTACTTCAGAGATAATGAAGCATGAATCGTGGACTTGATGGCAGCCACATCCCCCACCTTGCAAAGCTGTCCCGACTCTCGACCCGTAATCTTGATTGAGACCCTGCCGTGCCTGATGGCGCTCTCCACAATCGCGGGGCCATTGGAGAAGCAAAGCTCATTCCGTGCCACAATCTTGATCCTGGGGCTATTCATTTTTCAGTGATGCCGCAGTGATGCCTCTGGCTGGCGCAGCGTGCTAGTGTAGTGACAGTGAGTGTGATCGCATGAATACGCGCGCACATGCCAAGAATGTAAATCCTTACCGTTCAGTTTCCATTCGAGGACTCTTTTGGACCTGGAGCCATCGGATGAATTGTCGAACAGAACACTCCCTGCTATGGTGAGCCTGGTGTATCGGGACGACATATACCAAAAACATGCTGATAAGGCCCGCTTGCGGGCCGAAATCGCGGCCGGAAAGGGTGATGACGATGATGAGGACGGCGCGGACGGCGCAGCCGCAACCCGCGACAATGCGCTTGACTTCCGATGCGAAATGATGATGAGGCACCTTCTTCAGGCTACTCGGCCGCGGCCGCGCCCAATTACCAATGTATTTTCCTTCGTATCATGTTACATATTCATTTTTTCTCATCGCCATCATTACTAATCATTACTACTATTATTGTTACGAGAACCAACGAGGATGATTATTTATTACTACTATTACTACTACTACTACTGCTACTACTACTACTACTAGGACTACTAGTTGTTGTTGCGCCGTTGCCGCTAGTTCTAACCGCCTGTCGGCGGTCGGTCTGCTTGCATACTGTCATGGTTCAGGCTTACCCGCAGTGGCCAATGAGGTCTCACTCCGTGGTGATAGCGTCATCTTCGCCGTGCCCTTGAAGACGATGGATGCTGCGTCAAAGCCTTTGTTAGAGCTTGGTGTGGCATCTTCCCGGACTCGCCAAGGCGATCGGAAATTTCTGTAGTGTGTTCTGAAGGTGGTCAATGTACATTTTGTGCTTATTGTCTAAGTCTTGCCTTGCCCAAGTGCTCAACAATGCTTTGCTGGTGAGGTGGAGACGCTACGGCCACAGGGTCTCCTTCGGATAGCCGGTTGCAGGCACCGCAACTTCAGCCAGATGATGGCATGTTGGAAGTGGCGACATTGACATCGTCTGCCGCCACAACACAGCCCTCAGCAGATGCTGTTACATCTGGAGGAAAGGCAAAGGCAAAGGATGCCTTGAGTGCGGCATCCAGCTTCGCGTGGATCACCGTCGTGTCAAGCAACCTCAGTAACCATACCGTGCTTGGCGATATTTCGCAAACATTGTCAGGCATCGATCTCATCGCGCAATTTCAACAAGTGCAGAGTGGAAATTTGGACGATTCCGGTCATCCGCCGGCATAGAGGAGGACAATTTCTTTTCTCAGTGAAGCAACGAAGCATTAAAGCTTGTTTTGTGCATGCCCACTAGTGCCGCTGCTGCTGGTTGCGAGCACTACAGGCAAGAAGCTCCGCGAAGTGAACATGAAACCTCTTCACGTTGAGCAGCCAACGCAGCGCCTCGCTGCTGTGTCTTGGTGACCCAGCTGCTTTAGAATGCACAGTGCGCTGCATTTGCGAGCAGAGTATATATACAGTGTTGTAGCCATGAGTCAGATGCCTGCGTGGGCTTTACGCACAACAGGGTCATGCACTAAGCATTCCTTACAATCCTTGGCATGTGCTTCGACGCGTCAGACTACGGGATTGTTGGGCTGCCGCACGGCTTGATGCCAAACACCTTGCTGCCTGAGGCTGAAAGCTCGATTGTCAACAGATGGTTCATCTGCCGGCCACGACGATGACAAGCTGCTCAAAGCCTTCTCCAAGATCAAGGTGTGGATGGCGTCCGACAAATATGTTTATGAGATGCTGGCTGCGGGTGTCACGGAGCTTGCTGCGGACTGCGCAGAATGGGGGTTCCTCAGATGCACTGTGATTGTTCGTGGCAACTGCCGAGCCGGATTGCGTTCCGCCTTTGACTTGTCTATCTGAGGTTACCTGGATTATGTGAGGAACTCACCCAGATTCTGTGCGGCATGGCTAGCAGTGGAAGCTTCTCCAGCAACAGTGCCAAGAATGCAACATTCCTCTTGTCTAGCAGACAAACTGATCTGTTGCAAGAGCAGGGCTGGGTCATTTCCCATGGATGTGATCTTTACACCCTTTCCAGCCGTGCGATCCAATACTTGGTTCCTGCAGTGTGCTACAAGGACCCTGTGAGTCTCTCTAAATATCGCAACGCAGCAATCACGGATTCAAGCAAAATGAGCTTGGTGGAACTCATTCAGGTTCTTGCCAAAGATGGATGGACAGACCAGACATGTGCCAAGCCCCGAAAAAAACAGCCTTACGTGAAAGGCGGCCGGAAACTCTGGTATTCTTACAAAGACAAACCACCTTTCCGTAGCTACTTGCAAGTGCTAGTGGGCTCGGCAGCAGTCTTGCAGCGCAGCGTGGCCATCCATCACGGGCAGCTGGATTCGCACCCGGTCTCATTGGAGGTTGAAGTGGGTAGGCACAGGCACATTGCGGCAGACCACGCAAGCATGCAGGAGGGATTGACTCCAACAACAACAACAACAACAA